TATCACCCATAGGAGCAGACGCAGGACTCCTCATACCACAACTTATTAAACCCCTAATTTGGAGTTTTATTCTCTGAGATCTTGAGTTTTCCTATTATTTTCTTACCTTTCAAAGATTTTTGTTCAAGCAATAATTTATTTATTTAATCAATCCATCTTAGTATAAATACGGTTACCACAGATGGGTGTTCAGAGCTTAAACGAACCTGTCAAAGAAATAAAGAAAAACACTGTCATACCTCTCCGAAGCCCTCCAGAGCTCGCAGTGCAAACAGCCAGTACGACCCCCATTTGGCAGCGAGAGGGGTGAGCAGAGTGAGGGCAGCCGTGCCCAGCACACCCAAACCCAGGAAAAACTTCCCCCCGTAGTGACCGGCCAGGTAGCCGCCCGGGATCTGCGTGCACAGGTAGCCGAAGAAGAAAGCCCCGAGCAGCCAGCCCTGAGTCTCAGAGTCCCAGTTGTAGTGAGGGACCTGGGGCAAGAGGACACAGAGAGGAGGCGTCACAGAAAATAAAGCGTGAGGAGAGATCATGATGGCGGCTCTTTCAATGCTCGAGCAGAGTTACCCCGGCAGGCTGCTGGAAGTTATTGCTAGTGTTCTCGCGTCCTGATGGTGGTGGACAGGCGTTGGTGACGGAGTGGTTTCCGTCTGGATCTGGGTCGGTGCTGTTCACCATGGCTACCATGGCGACGCTGAGGTTGACACGGAGACCGTAGACCACAGTGAAGCCGAGGAACATCAGGAAGGCGAGGTTGAAGCGGGCCGAGCAGCACCGAGGAGGAACTGATCACACACAGAGAAATAAACAGAGTATTTTTTTAAGAGCCTTAAATTTGGCAGATCTCCTCTTTTAGGTAATTTTCCCACGCACGTTTGAGCCACTTCAAATACAGGCACTACTTTCAGATACCGCCCTAGAAGAGCTGCTTCCATACTCGCACCACAATGTGAAAGCATGATATTGCTTCCAATTATCAGTACTAGTATCGAGGAGTTTCTGTTCTTTGATTATTCACTGGAGAAAAAAACATAACAAAAAAATCCACAAAGAGCATTTTGGGTAAACTTTGAAGGCTTTGTAAATAAGCTGAATAGATAAATAATTTTCTTGACCTTATTACAAACATTTCTCTTTAAGCATTGCAGATTTTTCCTGTAACAAGCCAGAAAACTGGCCTCTAAGCATCACTAAGATCGTTTATATCTTTACAGCGGCATGTGATTCCATGTCAGCTGCCTCATTGAGGTCTTATATGACAGGTGATCTTTAACGCTGATGTGTGCACTGAAGAACTGAAAACCATCGCTACAAAACAACAAAAGTAACAGCTTCACTTTTGCAGTCATGTTCAAAATTAGATCCAAGCACTTCAGTGATACCAAAAGCTCAACCTGCTGCGTGTTCAGCTTATTTTTTCAAAGCAGATTCAATATTTCCGGTAAAGATTAACATGTAAAAAAATGTTTTCCTCACTTTCATCACCCCCGATGAGAGGTTCGGTGTCCTCACTCTCATCGGAAGCGGCTGAGTTGATGGAGCAGCCATCGGGTGGCGGCATGGCAG